CAAATATACAAATTCTTCCTCATTCTAACGATCTAGAAATTCTAAATTTTGCCTTTTCGCTTTATTATATTTTATTTTATTTTATTTTTTTTTTACATTTTTAAATCTTTATACTTTTTATTTTGATTTATTAATGACTTGTGTAATTACTAGATTATTATTATTAGATTATATCATTAAATTATTTTTAGTAGATTATTAAGAAATTACTAAATTATTATATAACAGAATACAAAGCAATCTAATGAATAATTGTTTTTATATCAGGTGATTGTTATATTTGATTTTCCTTTTAAAAAATTTTATTTCATTAGGAAACGAAATATTTCGTTAAATTTTTATTTCTCAATAAAAAAAACTTACCCGATGCGTGAGCAACTAGCCTCACGACATGGCTAGCTGTTCCGCCAGTTACACAGATAAATGACTTGCTACGAAAAACTTGTTGCAACATATTAAACGGCTTGAAATATAATAAATATAACGCTAAATTAATCAACAATGCGCTTATTTTTCATGCTTCCTCAAAATCGGAACTTTTAACTCTAATTTTCCATAACCGTGATTGTTACGTGAATTTAACGTTCTCATAAAAAAACATTCGCAAGGAGATGGCCGATCAACGAGCACATTTTTATCCACGACTTCCCCCCGTGGATATCGATAAGCTAATCGTATAATTTATAGTGGAAGAGACTGCGATTCTTATCACCGCCTTCATCTCTTCTTTTGTGCAAATTTAAACGGCACGTTATTTGAAAATTGAACGTGACGGTGAAGATGGAGAGATAATTGATCGTGAATAGTGACATATTTCCCCGCCTGGTACACGCATAGCTTTTATTTTATTCACGAGAAACGTTCGGCCCAATCCACGCGAGTAACGGAAGTCGAGTGGAATTCGAACGATCGTCGATGAAATATTAAATATCGAGAAACGAAAAAGTGGCTCGCAAAGTTCGCCGTTCCAAATCCTTAATACGGCAATAACGATTTAACCGCGGCTATCGCTATACACGTTATTACGCGGCCATATTTCAGAAAGGACGAAAAAGTCGGCGTAGTTAATTGACGGTTTATCGCGGTTAAACGAGCGCTATTAATCGGACACCGACATAATTATCATCGACTATTATTAAATTCTCTGGGCCCGCGCGCGCGCGGCCATACGACCGGTATGCTACGCGCGCGAGCGCATGCTTTACTCCAGATATATTTATCTAACGTGGCGGGAGGAGGGAGAAGGAGGAGGAAGAAGAAAGGAAAAGAGGAGAGAGAGAGGAAAAAGAAAAAAATGAAAAAGACGAAGGAAACATTACGCCTACATTTCGCACGAGCTCTTTGGACCCACCATTAGCGCGCGAACGTGTGTGGGTTTGCCGTTCCGTGGCTCACGCGCCCATACATCAAGATCACGTTAAAGCCACTTTCTTAAATCAAACCGCGTGCCACTTACTTTATTTATCCGTGTTTTCCCCCATTTTGTCGCGCGAGGATTATCATGTTCCCATTGAAATCGAAATTTTTCGATTCGATTCAAACTTTTGTCGAACCTGAAACCCTACCCTTACCCGTTCGAAAAACTCTGAAAATTTAGATACAACATGATGATGATGATGATGATGATGATGATGATGATTTCGTCAGAGAAAGGTTTTTAATCGAGGGAACTTTTCGAGTCGAGACTCTCTCGTTCGAGGATTTAAAGAAGAAAAAGAAAAAATTTAAACAGATTAAGATTAAGATGATTTCGAAAAGAATTCATAATCGAAAGAATATCGGTAATTTGAGCCGGAGACCGTGAGACACGATGACTAATTTACCGTTAATTGTTTTCATATCGTTAGTCCTTTCTTAAACAGATACGATACGCTGGTAATTATTACGGCATCGCGTTAATAACACGATATTGCGAGTACAAGTCCAAAAGTAAGTTTAATATCGGTAATTAAGCCCGTTAACATCGCGATCCTAACGAAGGAAATTGAATAATACTCACGCTCGCGCGCGCGTTCCTACGAACGATCGAACAGATGACCCTCGTAACTTTATCTTTCTTTTTTCTTTTTTTCTTCTACCTCGTCGGTTCCTGATGTATACACAAAGTGGCATGCTAATGAAAATCGTCAACGAGCTGATCATGGTCAACGAACGACATCATCGTTCGAACGACCAACCAACCTTTGCTTGATCGGTTGAAGAAACGAGGGAAACGAACTTGGTCAACTTGTTAATTTTTCGAGTGGAAATTTCGAGGAGGAAGAGTAAGGGAGAAGCGGAGGGGGGGGGTGTGCCAGGATGCAAATACAATTATTACCCGAGCTCGAGGAATGTTCTAATTGACCGGGCGCGGTAAGATTTGACAAAAATGCCAAGCGATCCGAGACGACATCGGGTACGAATATATCCTCGCTTTCATCCTCGTGCAGTCGGTGCAAAAAAGTCGATGATACGAAGTCGATGGTCGAAGAACGAAGAAAAAGAATTGTCGGGCCCCCGTTCGTGCAAGGTTGCAAGATGCGCGCTGAGAGAAGCCAGAAGCGCAGAAATCAGCAGAGAAAATGAACGGGGAACGAAGAAAGGGCGAGAGAAAGGAGGAGCAGAGACGAAAGGAGAAGAGAAACAGAAGAGAGAGAGGAGAGGAGAGTGGAGTGAAGAAAGAGAGACGAGGGCAGAACCGAAGAGAGAACAAAAGTCGGGTCTGGAACAAAAACGTCCGAACTGCAGTCGGTTCCCGAAGAGTCACAGATCCCACAGCGAGCGATAAAGATAGGGCCAAACGAAACGACGAAGACGGGGACAGACGGAAGAAACGGAAGATAGGAAGAAGCAAGATCTGAAACTGGGAGCGCGCACTCCTCCAGGGAAGGAGGGCCGGCGAGATATAGGGAAAGAATCGGGGTGGGGGAGAGAATCTTCAGAAATGAAGCAGCAGCAACGACCAGCAGCAGTCGCACCGGGGGTAAAGATGGACCGACTTTTACCTACGTCCGGCTGTTTGTATGCGTTCACCCGAGATCAAGTTTTTCTCGAGTTCTGAACCTCCGGCAGAGAGCCGGCCAGCAGCACCAGCAGCTCCGACTCGAATCCAACTTGATTTCCTGGCACGCGGTTCATCTTGTCGTTTATTCTCTCCCACTCTCCTCTCCACCTCTTTCTACCTCTCTCTCTCTCTCTCTCTCTCTCTCTCTCTCTCTTCTTCTTCTTCTTCTCTCTC